TGAACCCCTTACTTCCCCCGCTCATCTTTCTTTATATGCATATTTGGCGCTAAATATAAGCGGCCGATTTCCCGGAATTTTATACCAGCTCATGGAAATTGGATGACTGGGTATTTTATTATACTATAAAGTCAGTAGAATTCTAATATTATCAAGTACAAAATATGGTGTTTAAAACTTCCCCTTGACAACAAAATCAGTCGAAACACCAAAAGCATGTGTATGGAGGATGAGCAGGTTTTACCTCTAACTGCAGGAATTGGTTATAAGCTGCCAGCTTGGAATTACTAGCAGAACAAGATATATACAAAGAGAGTTTATGTACAAAAGGATTTGAAATCAGGCGCTGTGCAAGGTCATTTCTCCCTTTGTCGCAATTCCTAGCTCAATGTTACCAAATGTGGCACTTTTGCAACGCGGCTTCGCAACAAGACATGATTCCAAAAAAGTGGCTGTAATTGCAAAACAACGCAAGCTGAAAAGCTGTAACTTGGTGAACATAATGCTAAGTAGACAAGGTCAAACATAATAACATTTCAGACTTTTTCCTCAAATACCTTGACCGCAGTAAAACATTCAAGTTCAAAGAGTAAACTTTAGGCCTTTTTCGAAACGGTAAACTTGAACGTAGATGAAAGTTTATACTATTACACCCGACTTTCTGCCAATCTCTTCAATACCCTGTTTAAAATTGGCGGGGTGGTTGGGGGAATATACCAGCGTTTATTAGTCTCTCATCTATCTATTTATTCAACGTGAAATTGGATTGTTCCCTTCTTTTGTTTGCGAAACCCCGATCACTGGCACTTTTGTACCTTTTTTGATGTAAAAAGCCATCTAAGATAAAAGCATTTTAAGTTGTGGACGTAAAACTCTGGACAAACATGCACAGTACTCTGCTATTGTAACTCCTAGAGTTTCATTGAAAAGGGCAAGATTTTGAAGAAGTTCTAACAAGGGAGAGAAAAGGTGACTAAAGTGCCACACTTTTCGTCTAGAGAGAGAGAGAGAGAGAGAGAGAGAATGATAATAAGATAAATAGATAAATATAGATAAAAGCAATAAGTAATACTTTTTGAAACCTGAATGATTACCTTTAATAATTATAATGACAATAAACAGCTCCAAATTGATAAACTTGTGGCCCTCTAAATTAGAAACTAAACATGATGAATGAAAAAAAAAAGTGTTTCAAACCACAGTTGACAGGAAGGCAGACCAGAATTGAATTTGAGGCAATGAGAAGAAACCCAGTGAGTAGCAGAGTGACGAGTTTGACCCGGGAACATCAGATTACAAATCCAGTATCCTAACTATTCGGCCCCAATGCCTCCTCTTGACTTGCTATCGATTGAATGACTATTTCATAAACCCTTTAACAAGTGCTAACGGCGTAATCACGATCTTTCGATGATAATAATTTTGATTTGATCATACATTTCAGGAACTGCCGGAGACTCGTTTTCGTATCACAATGGTCGATCCTTTACAACAAGAGACCGAGACAATGACTTAAGGGGAGAACTGAACTGTGGTGAGCTTTGTAAAGGGGGCTGGTGGTACAACGAGTGTTGGCATAGCAATCTAAATGGTTATTATCACCGGGGAACCTACCAATTAGAAAACGGCTGGTACAATGGCGTTGGCTGGTATAAGTGGAAAGGACATAATTACTCACTTAAGAGAACTGAAATGAAGATGCGACCAGTAGGCTTTTAGTCGTCCGTTGTGGCCTCCAAGTTTTTCGAGCTATTTTTGTCGTGATTATGGTTTGGAAAAAATATTTGATAATACGCAGTGATTTTGGTTTTCGGGAACAATGAAATTTATCTGATTCTCCCCTTCCCCCCCTCCCAAGGCTCTTTAGTATTTCTTATAATCCCCTTCATTGGAAGTCAATGTTCTGTAGTTCCCCCCCCCCCCTTTATAATCTGTCAGTTAAGATTGACCCCTTCCCCTTCCGTTCCTGGGAAAAACCTCCCCAAAGTTCATCCTTTTCAAGAAAATTGACTTATAATAGGGCCTCCTTATTGGTCAGTTAGACCAGAGAGGCCTGGTTACTTGTCACCAAAAAACCTTTTGCTGTCCATAAGAATATAAATGATGTAGTAAGATCTGCCCAACATTGTAGAGTAATTTTCTGATTTACTGCATTTGCTCTAAGACAAGACACATACCAGGCAAAGATTTTAACCCTTCCAAACTGACACATTGTAGATAGGGAAATTTCTTACGGTTAACTTTCCCCTACGACCAACGATAAAAACTTGTCAATTTTTACCCCTAACAGCTGATTTGTTTTGCCGTTTTACAGCCAGTAACCCCATTATACTGATGCCCTCATATTAGCATTGCTACTGCTTGGTATATAATAACAAGGGCGTGGCCAGGGGAGGTGCCCGTGACCCTCCCCTCCTTTGTGAGCCTTTTTTCTAAGCTAACAACCATTACTATTCAGGTGGCGAAAAGGTAGCGAGAACCAGTGTGATTCTTGGCTATACCCCTGTATGATAGTAACTGCTAAACTGCAAATCTACAAAAGTCACCTTTATTGAAAACATATACAGTTCAGATTAAGTATTACATTAACGTCCAGGGTCATGAAATGGACTGATAAACGTTTTCAGTTACCTATCGCTTTTTGATGCAGTGTACCTATTTATCCAACTTTACTTGGCCCTGTCTGCGTTGATATAGGTACGTACATTGGTGTCAGTCTCATCATGTTTTGTGTAAAATTATCTTACGTACTAGCATTGTAGCTGTTTTGGTAAATTAAAATAGTAGCTGATACCGACATAAATTCTTGAAAGTTATGTCTATCCAGCGAGATATCAATGAACTGTAAATAACAGGCTCTAAAGCGAATAAAGTTTGAGGGATGTTAATGAATGACCTTGTCGTTCTTTTTGGCGCTTGCTTATTACAAGAATCTCAGACAACCCTTCATATTGCATTTCCTCTCTTGCAAACCCGATTTTTTCCATACGGCACAACTAATTTATCTTCATCATCACGATCAATTCTTTCAAGAATGACTTCGAAAGCACCTCGTTCTTGTGAAACAGAACCTTCAGTGGTTAATTCCGGGTGTCCAGTCGCGTAGTGCCTAGTTTCCAAGTGTCCAGTCTTTGCTGGGGACAAGACATGGCAAGAGAGGTCAGACTAATTTTAATTTCGTCAGCTGATTCTGGCAATTCGGCAGACACTTTAAGCAAAGCCATTTAATTTGATTTTTACTCGCTTCTCTTTGCTTTGATAATTTGCGTTCTTAGTCAGAAGTTTTCATAGTAGTCTCGCTTAGTTAAATATTGGGGGTGTAATAGGGGCGGGGCTGACACGAGCTCTCCCCAGCTCCCGTCGGACTTCTAATAATCTTTCCAGTCTACCGCCAAAAGAACAACAAGATGGCGTCTGAAATGTTAGTACTTCAGAACTTTATCGGAGGAAAATTCGTACCTTGCACAAATCACATTGACAGCTACGACCCATCAACGGGAAGGGTGCACTGTAAGGTTCCAGACAGCACTGAAAAAGAAGTCGATTTAGCCGTTAAGGCAGCAAATGAAGCGTTTGAAAGGTAATATGAGTTCTGTGACCATAATTGTAGCCCAGCGTTAGGGTTGAGTAACTTATGCTAGTTGTGCTTGTAGCTAACAAGATTCTCTATCTCCGTTAAGGGAACGCATTGTTTTCCTAATTTAGTCTTTGGAAAAAAACTGATCCTGAAATCACGAATTGACTCTATCATGATCGATGTTTAATGAAGTTGCGAAATCTCCATGTTGTACATATGAGGTGCAATCATTGGGAATATATATTTATAATGTAGTAAACTAACGGCGTGATTTCTTTCATTATGCATAGAGTACATACAGAGTAGTCAGTGGCTTAAAATCTCACAGTTTATAGACTACGATAATCACATTACGCCGTTGTCTAATTAACCATAACTATAAAGCACGTAGAAGGTTTTGGGATCGGAAAATGAATGATTCGTAGTAGTGCTCTAAAGGTAGTGCAGACCAACTATAGCCTTTCTGATGTTTTCCTTATTTCCTAAGGCCATCTTATCTCAATGAATGCACAGCTGACTTTCCACGCGTTAGTTTAAATATTATAGAAAAAAGAAACTCCCCCTTCAACATGTACGCCTCATTGCCAACAAACGTGTCACTGTGCACTAAAGGAACATGAAGCACGCTCTTCAAATTGAATATGATAATAGAAATTTACTTGCCAGGTTTTATGTGTGGTTACACCTGGAAATTTCCCTTTCTCTCTGATTCTTTGTTTCTCTGTTGGCATGTTTGTCTGTCTGTCTGTCCATCTGTCTCTCTGTCTTTTTGTCTGTCTATCTGTCTGTCTATCTGTCTGTGTCTTTCTGTCTCTCTGTCTGTTCTCTCTGTCTGTATTTCTGTCAGTCTGTATGTCTCTCTTTCTGTCTGTCTCCCTGTTTGTGTTTGAATATTGTTTGGCAGGTTTTGATTAAGAGATACAGCTATAAACAAATTGTCATTTAAAGTAACAGGGGAATCTTTTCCAATTCTGAAAAAAAAAGACTCATGCCATAGAGATTAAGCTGGAAAATGTTTTTAGAATAACTAATGAACACTTTAATATCAGTTGCCTTGTGAACTCTTTGATTTGTTTGACTTCTAATGGGATTGCTGAGTATTTATTTTCTTTGTAGCTGGTCTGTAACCACACCAGAATATAGGGCAGGTATAATGAGAAAGATTGCTGATCTCATTGAGGCCCAATTGGATGAATTTGCTGAGGCGGAATCAAAAGACCAGGGGAAGCCAGTGTTGCTGGCTAAGACAATCGACATTCCACGTGCCTGCCATAACTTTAGATTCTTTGCCTCAACAATTATACGTTCCTCAGTGGAAAACCAGTAAGTACTTGACTTACATATTTTCTTAACCCTTCAACTCCCAAAAGTGATTAACATGTAACTTCTCCCTATAATATCTATACATTATCCAGCAGGTAGATATTGTTATCTTGATCCAATGCTAAATTCTTGTTACTAATTTACTAGGAAATGTGTAGCAGCTAGAGGGGAGAATTAACAATTAGATCTTGGGAATTAAAGGGATATATAAATTTGATCCACACTTTAAGTACTATTAATAATACTACTACATAACATCAATAAACTGAGTGAATGAATCAATCTCTCCGTTAGTTAGTTAGCATGAATTTTCAAATTGGTTACATGTAGATAGCAAAATTCCCAGCTGTCAACCAACCTTTGCTTTTTTGCCATTTATCCATTTTTTTTTGTGTAGTTTTTGTCAGCTTCCTGCTTTATCCCATGATAAATGTCTATTAGCTGCTGAAATGGGATTAATTTACCGGTCACTGAAACTGAGAACAAGTGCACAAGCAAGAAATCCTCTCTTGAATGTTTTTAGTGGCACAACCAATCTGATCATAATTTTTTAATAAACAAGTTAAATTTATTTTCACTTTAATAGAACCAGTATTCTAGAAAATGTTGGTGCACTGAATTACACTATCCGAAGTCCAATTGGTGTGGCTGGATTGATCTCCCCTTGGAATTTGCCTGTTTATCTTCTGACTTACAAGATTGCTCCTGCAATTGCTGCTGGAAATACTGTTGTTTGCAAACCAAGTGAAATGACATCTGTCACAGCATGGATGATGGCCAAGGTGCTTAATGAAGCAGGTAGAAAAAGTAATATTTCAGTTAATTCTTTCACTCCAAGGAGTGACCCAGGCAAGATTTCTCCTTACAATATCAGTATAGAATCAAGTAGACAGGTAATGAGAATAAATGAATATATCAACTAGAGGATTATTATTTTGATCCAAGACCAAACTCTTAGAACTAACTTTGTGGGAAATGTCTGGCAGACATAGGGAGAATATGCACTAAGATCATGGGTATCATAACAAGCTGGAGTAATGTTGTGCTTGTTATTTACACTGTTACTATAATAATCATGCTCAAAAGATAATTACCCAAATTTTATAACTCAGCAGATGTACAGTCATGTTTCTCGTAAACATCACTTTTTCACTGTGTTTAACTCGCTAAGTATACTTTATATCCTGAGCATTCAGCAATTTTCATTAGAGTGTAAATGGTAATCTAGGATTTCATTAATAATTTATTTAACCTTTACTTTGCCTTTTGATTGGTGTTGAAAACTTGTTCCATGACCTCTCAAACAATCAGTTGCAAGATGCCAGGCAATAATATTGTAACATGGCTGGATGTGTTTCAGGTAGTTGCAGCTGTGGCTTGTTTGACTTCGAGTTGTTCCCAATATTAGAGCCCCTTTCATATTTTTCTTTGTCCTGATTTGCATCTCTTTGATAAACAATCGAAATCCCGCCATCTAATGTGTCATGTCTTGGTCAATGACTGTAGGTCTGCCTCCTGGTGTTGTTAACTTGGTGATGGGCACCGGACCCAAGGCAGGCGCTGCCATCGCTAGACACCCTGATGTTCCTGTGATTTCATTTACTGGTTCAACTGTCACAGGTCAAGTTATCACAGAAATGACAGCTCCTTTTTACAAGAAAACTTCATTAGAAGTGAGTGCTGTTTTTAAATACCCAATAAGCTTTCTGATAATTGAGAGCATGTTTTGGGCAAGTTTAATCCTTTGTGCCCTAAGATCAGTATCCATATTCTTCATTTTTTATTTGTAATTTTTTTTTTAGCTCGGAGGGAAGAATGCCGCAATAATTTTTGATGACGCAGACTTAGAGAAGTCCATAGCAACGACTGTCAGGTGTGTTTAGTAATTTATCTGTCCAGAGTAAGATCATAATTTAGATACACTCTATAAAATTATCTATTTGTAGCATATTTTTTGTGGTAATGTACATCAAAAACATTTTGCAGCTAGAAAAAATTAAGTGTTAAGGATTTCATTCAAAGTTTGTTGGCTATGGAATTATTGCGGCTGTCCAAAGTTTGTGGGAAAAATGAGGCTCCACATTAACTTACAGTTACCTTGCAAAACACTCTCATCACTAAGCAGTTTGTTTTTTTTTTTTTGGGTGTGCCTTTATACACTCAATTGGTAGTTGTTAAGAGTTTGATTATGTTTTGGGCAAAGATATATGGATCCCTAAAAATTTCAAACTTACAAGCATCTGTGTGACTTAAATCTTTTGAATCAAACTTATTTTTTAGTCTGGTGTCTTAGAAATAGTTTTAAGTTTTGTATTCATGGCTTGTTTGCGGGAAAAGGTTTTTCCTTAAGGTAAAGAGCGATATGAATGCAAATATCTTATGGTGAAATATGAATACTTTTTTATTTCGTATTTCAGGTCCAGTTTTGCCAATCAAGGAGAGATCTGTCTGTGCACCAGTAGAGTTTATGTCCAAAAAGGAATTTATGACCAGTTTTTGGAGGGTTTTGTGGAAAGAACTAGGTACAGCATTTTGCAATTTTATATTATGAGAGAGAAATGAAGATTTCTGACTAATGTAAACTTTTGTCGCATTAAAGAGAAGGTCCACTGTATGAAATCAGATTAAGCTCAGGAGAGTTTGGGATTTGTTTAATCTACCAGTTGTGTGAAGAGAGAAGTAAGCCTCGCTGTCTTATGAGAAGGGAGTGGGGTGTGGATGGGTGACTGTTTTTTTTGGGGGGGAGAGGGGAAGAAGGATTGGCCGTAAACAGGTGTAAGTGAGACCAAAGACCTATAGACTTAGAGCCTTAAGCGGCTCGACAATAATTCTAGAGATTTAGTGATTTTTTTCCTTCTCTTGCCTCTTGTCTCTTGTCTTTATACCAGGCAACTCAAGGTTGGTTCTCCAAAAGATCCAACAACCAACGTCGGAGCTTTGGTAAGCAAGGAACACTTAGCCAAGGTACGTTTTTGGAAATTTATCCATAAGATTCGATTCTACGGATGCCTACATTATCATAGTCAATTGTTATCATTATCATGCGGTGTTATCGATGTCGTTATATCGTAAGCGTTATCGGCATCGAAAGCGTCATCGGTAGCGCTATCGTTTTTTGGAATCACAACTGTTATCGTTAGTTTTATCGTTAACGACATCTCGTTATCATTATTTAGAGGAACTACACTATACAGGGGTACAGGTTTTGAATTTTTAAGGAGCGTATCTCTTGGCTCGTCTGGCTCGGCATAATCTATATGCACGTGAAGTATCGGGATTTTTTTGGAGTACAGGGTAATTTAGTATTATCAACCGAGTTAATTACGTAAATTAGTCACCGTAAAGAGTTTCTAAGCTGACGTTTCGAGCGTTAGCCCTTCGTTATTCGCTCTGCTGAATTACCCCGTTATACTCTCCCATCGACGCAGCACCACAATTCTTTTAGAAAATTTACCCCCTTTGTTTTAATGTAGCTGCTTGTTTGGCTCGATAGTAGAGCAAACGAACCCCTGGAGCTGGTTAGTTAGGTTGGTGATGGCCTTGCATACTGTAGTTTAGCTCATTATCGTTATATCGGTAGCATTAATGATATCGGTAACAATGTCGTAATCGGCAGCGTTATCAATTTCGTTATTGGTATTCGTATCAGTAACATTAACATTATCAATAGCTTTTTCGATAGCGCTCTCGCTCTCGTTATCGCAAAAAATGAAAAAGAGAAAAGAAAAATTCTGTGTATCAAGATTACATATTTATTACAAATTTATTTATTTGAATCGTAATGTCGTGGTAACTTGTACAGTGCCTTGTATCTTATCGATATCTGGTCTAAGGCGTTTTGTTTCTTCTCAAGGTCCTTGGATATGTGAAACTTGCCGTGAATGAAGGTGGAGAGATTGTTTGTGGCGAAGGAAAGGACTCTCCTTTGGAACTAGCCAGTCCTCACACAGAAGTAGGCACAGTTCTGTTTTGTTTGTTGATTTTAATGTGGAGATGGAAGGTTTGTTTCTAGTTTTCAACGTTTGTTTCCTTGTTTGTTTGCGTTTTAGGGATACTTTATGCGACCCACGGTGATTACCGGTTTGTCGGACAACACTCGCTGCATGCAGGAAGAGATATTTGGTGAGTTAGGACAAAGGAATTAACTGAAAATAAAAATTACGGCAGTTCTTAGACCTCTTTTTTCTATGACGGGCTTAATTGCTGTTATTTTATTCATACAAACTACCTTTTTTAATCCTTACAACATACTGAAAATAAAATAATTCTCGCTCAAAAGTGACGCCAAGAAGGCAGTCTGTATGGGCATAGAGAGACTTAGGGTTGTATGCGCTATAGAGTGTGCACTGACTGGCTATTGCTCAGTCAATATGGTAAGGTCTATGTGTGAGATTCTCTTCTGTTTTACAGGTCCAGTAGTGGCAATTGTACCATTTGAAAACGAGGAAGAGGTATGAGTGACACGTGTCTTGCAGCTTCACGCGCGCCTGACGCACGTGCAATTCCCATGCATTAGAAGCGCAAATTTTAAATATTAGTTTGAGTAGTTTGTTTTGTGTTAGTTTGTTTGTTTGCTGGTTTAATTTCTTCACCTTTTTTTTCCGTGGGTTTTTCTTGTCAGGTTATCAAACGAGCTAATGGTGTCAAGTACGGACTAGCAGCAGTGATTTGGTCAGAGAATCTTTCACGCACTCACCGAGTATCAAAACGTTTACAGGTACAAGACACAAATTAGTAAAGGTTTGCTGAGCGGCGCGTACTTTAACGTTCCAATCGGCTGACGGACCTATCAGTTCTTGGCAAGGTCTTTTTGTTTAAGAAGTGTCCTGACCTTATCTTTTCGACATCTCTATCGTATTTTAGTCACATTCAACTTCGATTCATGATACCAAATTTTTGGTTCAATGTTTGTATTGTGCGGTGCAAACATATTTTGTTATCGAGCGAGTGCTGTCCCACTGTTTTGACAAAACGAATGACATGTCTTTTAGGTCGCTAACATTGTGAGAATTGTGTTGTGATTTTTCTCTGTTACACTACGAGGCAGATTTGTGTCGCTTATTAGAAGGAGTTTCGTTGAACACATTCTGGTTTTGCTTTTACATTTTCAAGAATAAAAATGTTGCCAGATATTTCAGTATAACAACGTTAAAAGACGGCTCTGCTTCTATTCCCCAGGCAGGGACAGTGTGGTGTAATTGCTGGCTGGTCCGTGATCTCAATATGCCTTTTGGAGGATTCAAAGCTTCAGGGATTGGCCGAGAAGGAGCTAAAGAATCCTACGAGTTCTACACAGAAGTAAAAACAGTCTGCGTGAAGATGTAGTTTCCATCA